GTCCTATCATGGTTTGCGATGCAGGTATTTGATATCATATTATTTTGTAATCTCCAAGTTGCCATATGAAGAATCAAATATCTGTAGAATGTTTCGGTTATAATACTTTAAATATTGTTTTCAAGATTCCAAAAACAAAGGATGTAGAGCATTTTAGCTTTTAAGAAGCAAGAAAATAACTTCTTTATTTTTTTCTTTTTGGGAAAACCTGAGTCATCTTATTTCCTGATTTTTCCTCCTACTTATTTAATCAACTATAGATCCACCTCCTTCACAAGCTTCAAAAGCTACGTCTTCGTCCACAACACCAGCAGCAGGTGTTTCCTCAGCTATTGGAACTAAAGAGATTCACGACACCATGGACAAACCCTTGTTTCAAACGAATAACCAGGATACAAAGAACCTTGCCACAGCACAAAATAGGTTAAGCTTTCTTATTCTATTTATGTTGATTGAATTATTCTATTTTTGACACAGGTTCTTATCATGTTTTGTATCTTCATTTTTGTTGTTGTGTTCTTTGGATGAAACTATGACTAACAAGTCTATCATGGTGTTAACAAAAATCTATCAGAAGAATCACGTGAGTCGTATATTGAGGTTCATCAAGATGTGTCAAACTCAGCCATGGTTCATGAAGCAGGTATTGATTTCATTTTGCAAGCTCAGATCAATTTGACATGAATTGATAGGGAAAGAAATGCATTTTTCGCAAGACTTTTTTTTTTCATTTTTTTTTTTTCAAAATTTGCCTCAACCTATGTTTGTTTTTTGATTCAGCTATTGATGCATCTTTTATGCAATAAGTCTTACAAAAGTTTATGCAGGTGCTGATCTTGTTATGCAATACTATTTTTCATTTATTTGGAAGGAAGTAATTTATTAGAATTTTGCTAAAAAATGTCTTAATTTTTTTAAAAAAACTTGTTTATTTAGCTATTGAGATTCAAGAGATGCTAGAAACTACCGAGGGAGATATTGTTTAGGATGCTAAAAACACATTGAGCTTTACAGTTGTTCAAGATGCAGGTACTGGTCATGTTTTCTTAGGTTCATCATTCTATAAATATTCTAAAACTATATTCGGTACCAATCACCAGCAAGTAGCTTCTAAAGGCATATTATAATAAATCTTTCAATTTGGAACAACTATCTCCTACTTTAGGAGCTTAAGAACAGTAAAACCTCTTCAGTAGCCTCTAGCTTCAAAACTATTCGGATTTATAGTTAACAGTGTAATCATCCTCCGAACACTGTGAACATAACTTTTAACCATCTAGATTAGTTTCTAATCCTGTAGAGGCGACAACTATAACCCCTAGTTAAATTTCCAACTTCCAAAACTCAGTTGTTCAGCCTCCATCCGTGCTTAACTGTATATATATGAATACATATCACACATTCATAACATTTAGGCATGCTGGCTCTTGCCTTTCCTTATAAACCGTATGGCCATATCCTACAGTCTGGAAATTTTCCAGCTTTGGAATATTATCCTAGCCTCCAAAATAACATTTTTAATCATCATTTAAGTATCCTTAATCATACTTCGATTGCTTGTTTAAATTTTAAAAACCTGAAAACGGAAAATTATAACTGGTTTCAAGCTTCAACAATTCGGTTCAGCAAGCATCATCACCCTTAAACACACATGAACACATACATCCATACACTTGTTTCTCATGTTTACTTGAGTTTATAATCAGCTTTTAACCTTAATAAAATGCTTCAAACAGCAACACTATATAATATGGTAAATATTTCCTTTCACTTGTCTACTGTTAACCCGATACTGCACTCATCAGGACAGGGGGCTTTGGAACCTCAAACTATACAACAACCATTACATATATATACAACACTAAATTTTGCTCTTAGGAGCCTCAAACTATGCCAAACCATCCTCAATAGAAGTAGACTTCAATTGGCCCCATCATTCCCAAATAGCAACCATTGAAGAAAATAGAGATGGAGGGAAGGTTGAGGAGACTCACCTTGTCCTAAAACCAGTGTTGCATGTGGGCACCTCCCTCTCCTTCTTCCCTGATGCCCTCTCCTTCTTCTCTATCAGTCTATTCTGTTCCGCAATGTGAGTGTAGTGAGGACTGTGCGTGTGGCGGACAACTTAAAATCTTAAGTTATTGGACCAATATTGTTATATGTTGAAACACACGGTTGCTAAAAATGTACGAAACTCTTCCGTGATTGACAATACAGGTGCTGATTTGTTTTACAGTCTTGTAAGTTAGGAGTTTTTTTTTTTTTAGCCTTAATCTGTTTTCTATGTTCTAATGTCATAGGTATTGCTCCCAATTTTCAACTTTATTTTAGATTTAGATTGATTTGCTTTATCTAGTGATGTTTAACAACTCATTAATTGTCATGGTACTCTATTTCTTATTGATATAATTGATGATATTTCAAGCTCTATACCATGTAAATCAAAATATTTTTAAAAAATCACATGATACAAAATTACTTCAGACCAAGAATTTGACCTGTCAGGCTATTGACTCCGTAGTAGCTAAAAATAGAGCAAGTAACTTCTCTTTTTAATCTTTCTAGAAAGAAGAATTTTTCCTTTAAAATATGAATCATCCTTTTTCCTGACTCCCATTTGACTTGTTTTATATAGCCACGTGATCCATCACCTTCTCAAACTGTGGAAACTATGACCTCATCAATCCGAGATAAAGGTAGTGAACTAAAATGATGTAAAATTTTTCTGATATGACATTTGAGTTTAATACTCTCTGTCTATATTATTGACAGTGTGTTTTCGGATCAATAGAAAAAAAAACTTCTAAAAATTACTGACAATAACAGAGGAATGCATTTTTCCGTTTTCATTAGATAGAACTAATTTACTTTTATTTTCGCAAAATTGTGTCATTTCATTCACTGAGTTTTATATTTAAAAAATTGTTTAGCTCTTCAAAATCAAGAATTGCATCAGATAAGCGTTGAACCACCGTTGGTTCATGGCTGAGCTACGTGTGTAAATGCATTGAGGAATGTGGTGATGGAGAAGACGTCAAGGGGAGGTTAAGGAGACCAAAGGCCAAGCTCCCATTCTCAGAGCTCAACTTGAGTCCATCAAGAAGGAATTAGCTTCTGTGGAGGACTCCCTACTGTTGTTGCTTGACGACGCTAGTAAACTGGATGACTTCATTGAATCCTGAACTTTCTGTGTTCGTACTCTCTTAGAGCTACCTGCTTAGAAGTTTTCTTTTTCTGCGCTGCTGGTTTCGTGGTCTCTGTCCGCTGCACAATATTATAGGCAATATTGCAGTAGACATTGGGAATGCTATATCCTTCTCATGGTACTGTTTTAATTATATGGCTTTGGATTGCAGTGTGGAAAACTAATTCTTAGTCATTCTAAAGGAAACGACAATGTTGAGCATATATTACCTTTACTGCTCATTAGCTTCAAAGAATTTGGCTTGGTTCCTCCTAAAATCAGGGTTCAATTCTGATTTATCAAGATATATAGAAAAGACCTCATAAAATGAACTTGGATTTTATTCTGGCTAGATTAGATTGATTGTCTGGATTGAAATTGGAGCGTACTGTTCGAAAACAACAAGTTAACTAATTGAGCAAGAAATAAAAGTTAAATAACTTTGGTTTTAACACGTACTAATGACAGTATTTTATGTAATACTCCTCCGATCCTTAACGTAAGACTTAATTAATTAATTTGAGAACATTAAGAATATTAATTGAATTAATTAATATCAGATGTTTTTTTTTTTAAAAACACTCTACACATGATCAATAGGGTTAATTTAAAAAAAAATTTAATAAACATGTAAAATAGATATTATATATAGGACCGACATTAACTTCTTATTTAGATAACAAAGGAGTATTATTCTCCATAATTGTCAAAAGAAAAATTGTAATATAGAGAAGGGATGGTGTTATTGAAGAGTGATGAAAACAGGAAAGAGAAGCTAGGCACCCCACTTGTTACATCCCACTTTGTGATTTTATATTATTTGACTGAATTGATTATTAATTATAACTTTTTAAATTAGCATATTAGCTCAGATTTATTTCATATGACATAAGGAATTCTTCCTCATGAAAAAATTCAATTCAACAAATCACAACCTCTATACAGCAACGGAGAAAGTGATGCTGTTTACCTTTTAGCTAGAAGTCATTTATCTTTATTTTACTAAAATCTTGTGTCATAATCTTAAATCAACTTTTGTTTCTTCTAAATTACTGTAGCTCTTCGATGCATAAAACCATTAAGAGACTCTTAAATTAATAACCAACTACTTAATTTTCTTTAATTTGTTTTGTAAGTTCTAAATGGATAGTAGACTTTAGGAAGAAGAGAAAAATTTAGACATAAACAACTTCCTTAAGTTCCATACATCTAAGAATTGGATATATTATAAGTGGATGGATGAAGTAAGATTTTGGTCTTTGGCATCTTAATAGACTACAAATTAACCCATTTTTAGAAAACATTAAAACCACTACTATGATCCCATACAATAATTACCCTTGGGATCGAACTGGAAAAAGAACAAAATGACATGCATTTGTTATATTTATTCTATGAGTAAGGCATCTGAAATTAATTCCCATGCTTTCTTTTTGACATCAAGTCAACTTTGTTCTGCTTCAATATTATAATACTTCACCTCTATACGCCAGTAGTGTTATTCTATTTAACATCGAAAAGCCAGGTTTCATCCTCACAATTTTTTTTTAAAACAAACTTTTTCCAAACACAAGATGTTTTGAAAAATTTCAAACTTTTCAAAAACTTACTTTTGAAACAATCTGTTTAGTGGTTCAAGTATTTAATTTAGCCTTTTTTATGAAACTGGTAAAATCAACTTAAGACCACCTGAACCTATTCTTTTTTCATCCAACCTGTATTAAGCCAATAGTAGCCTATAGGATTTAACATTCAATACCCTGATCACTAGCCCATTAAAAAGAGTGCGCACACACACACTCATACATACAATCCAGATCGTAATCATAACTATATATCAGCATACAGGCTATTTCTGTCAATGGCAGTTACCTATAGTTTATCTGACCTTAGACTCCTCCTTATGGAAGAATATTTACAAACCAAAATATACACACATACATTTAAATCTTCAATCTAGAAGACCAAAATATAGTAAGCATATTTAAACAAAATACATAATAATTCTCCAACTCTCTTCATCTTCAAGTTCCACCAATTACTACTCCCTTGCTCTTAGAAGTACTTGCTCTTCCTGTATAACATGGAAGAAGGGGTGAGATTTTAAAAAAATCTCAATAGTAACAAAATTCCTTCACGTAATTATACAAGATCACAAACAACATGCTACCTAAGCCAAAGATAACAACACCTTGCAAACAAATATAATCAATGAGGCACATACACCATACACTCATATAGCCAATCGCTAACTATTGCACCCACATTCCAAAATAAACGGAAACCAGCACATATTGTCATGACAAACAATATCATGCAAAGGCAATTTACATGTTCTCATGTACAATTAGTATAATGGCACATCTCAATCAATACACAATCACATGAAAGGAAAAGAATTACTACCTTTTGCTCTTTCTTCCGTATTGCCTTCCCCTTACTTGCTTCTTGGCTCTTTCCTTAACGAACTCAAACAAATATCAAATCTTATAAATTATATAGACAATGGTAGATTAACATAAATATATATATGTACATAAATGCTTATCTATTTCACTGATAAACATATTCATTATGAATTAAAATTCCTTATAATCAATCAAACAAAGTTTGTCAATTTCCCTTACACTTCATAACTTGTTTTCCTTATCTTTCTCTCTTGACTTGAAGAATTCTTTTTTTTTTTTTAAGCTTCTTAGGACAAACTTCCAGTACCTTCCCTAATTTTCTACATAGGCCGAGACATGTATATGTAACTAGATCATTTATTCCAAGTCTTCCAACAACGAATCAGCACCGTTGAATATATATATTTTCAATGTCCTTAAAATTTATAATAGCAACGGCATTTCTTCCATACTTCCATGAAATTCCAGCTTCATAAACATCATGCCATCAGCTGTTTTAATGTCCCCATTTTAAAATTATATTTCCTCTTGAAACCCCCTTGACCGAAAATACCTTACACACACACAATATTAAATCACCCAACATTAACATCCCTCCATTTCGCAATGTCTACATATCTTTTTTCCCTCTAAAATTCTCATTTTACTGTAATAAAGTTTAACCATTGCTCACAGTAAGACTGATCCACTAACTAAAATAATATTCAGCATTTGAGAACACAAAACAATAAACTCCAAATCAAATTTTGGTTCCCCAATTCAACAATTCCTTCCCTTATTAAAATTCCAGATTTAAAAAAAAAAATCACTTCCCAATCTATGTAGCATTCAAATTCAAACTCATTGCTTTCAAACTCACTTTGCTTCTCTCCAATCCAGAAGCTAAAACCATTTAACCAGAACAAAACAATAACAACTCCGTTTTTCATTGAACCTCACGGCCTTCACTCCAAAACATCATATAGCATCATTTAATATTCATAATCATATTATTTAACTTTTCATACGCCTTTCAAATATGAAACCCATGCTATCAGCATAAAATAATGGAGATATGGGGTTCAAAATCATCATTCAAATAGAACCGAACACAAATGAATTTCATATACATGTGGGTCACAAAATCTCTCTTCAATTCCATCAACGTTCAACATTATACCCAAAGAAAAGAAGAGCCCGAAGCCAACTCCCTGAATCAACATATTCCCTGTTTCGACAATCAAGAACCAGAGAAAAATCAACACAACCAGCAGCATACAAGTGCAGAAATACTTACACAACTCCCAATTTATGCTTCGATCAAAGCTTTCATACGATTCTACGATTTCTCTCTCTAGGGCTAGATTTTCATTTGCTTCTTTCACTCCCAAATAATCCCAACCGAAGAAAACAAGGATGAAGGAAGGCTTGAAGGACTCACCTTAGTCAGAAAGCACAATTACACGTACGGAAAACACCCTCTGGTTACTTCACTGGCAGCTCGTGCTGGCTCGTCTTCCTCTCGCCCCCTCAAGCTCTCTTGGTTCTTTCTCTTTCTAATTCAGGTCGGGCGGCAGGAGAAAATGAAAAGGGAGAAGGTGCCGGGGGACGTGGAATGACCATTATGCCCCTGGGTTTCCATTTACTTACAATTTGATCCTTCTTTGTTTCTTAGGATAATTCATTGATTCCAAAAATTAATCCTTAACATTTTATATGAGTTCTCTCCCTCCAATAGCTTATTAGACACATCAAATAATGTCTCTAAAAATTTTGGGTCAAAAATTAACCCCTAACTGTTTTTCTTGAATTTTCCAAGAAAATAGGTCCTAAATTCTCAAAATAAGATTTATAATTATTTAGACCATATTTTAAGGGTCTTAATCTCAAAAATTTCTCTAAAAATTTCCCCTTCATCATGCTTTAATTAAATCCACAAAATTTGGGATATTACAAATATCATGCTTGATTTCAGTGACTCTTCTTTCTTCTTCATCTTCTCAACTCAAGTTTGATCTTTTGTACTCCCTACAATCCTTAATATAAAACCTATTGATCTAATTTGATTAAATAAGAAAGTTAGGTAAATTAATTAATTATAAAAAATATAACATGTTTTCTCTAAAGTATCATAATCATCTTCCTTAATATCCTCCCTTCCTCTCCTATTTGATTATGGTTAAGGGAGTATCAATAGGGATAATTTAGGAAAAAAATTGATAAATATAAGAAATATATCTTGCATTTAGGACTAAAATCAACTCAATAATTAGATTCTATATTAAAGACTAGAGAAGTACAAGTGATCCATGTGTAAGCAGTACCACTTAGTGCAATAAGGCTTAGGGCCCATTTGGTTCAACTCTGTTGCCGGTCTACAATAGTAATGAGAATCGTATTACCAAGAAGAGGATGTTTTGTTGCTTCATAGTATGGTAATAAGATTTACCATGATAATGATAATTACCAAAAATTTCGTAATCCCCATTCATGCCTTCTCCCTATGAATATTCATTATCATCCCATTACGTGTTCAAACGGGTCTCATTTGCCTTTCCAATGTAAAAAAAAGACACCAAATACCTCAAACCCTCCCCTGTCATCACCTTTTCCTTGTTCTCAAAATCATGTTTTTTGTTCCAGCTTCTGAATATGATCTCATCAAGTTTTCTTTCACTCATGATTCATGGATTGTGATTAATCTGTTGAAATCAATTTTATGGCTTGTTCTTCTTTTCAATTGCGTTGTTGCCGTAAGGACATGCGGAAGGAGGAGGTGAACCTTTTTGTTAGTTGAGGATATTATGGTCTTTTCGTTTTTTACATATATAATTTAATATAAAATTAAATTTTTTTTACTCCTCCAATATTATACCAAATGTTCTTATGATAATTGATAAGCAATTTTTTTTCTTGAGAAAGTATAATTGATAAGCAAATCTACCTAATATTGCAAGAAGTAATGCACACTCGGAGATGTCGATGATATCGAGAAGTTCTTTGTCATCTGATGTTGATTCAAAGAATGTGCAGTTGACAGACGACAGAGCAAATCTATTGGAAAGACAAGCAAAGATAGATAGATTAGGAGACATATATGATGGATGAAGCATTTTTATCCCACGTTCCCATGCAAGCAAAACAAATTAAACAACCAAATTACAAGGTTAAAGTAATAATAAAACTCTTGCAAGTTGCAAGTTACATCCCATTAATTAATTATTAGCCAATACCTTTTCTAGATTGTTCAAGGTATTTTTTCAATGATCAATGTTCTTACCTTTTCGCACTTCTGAGCTACTTGGGTTGCTTTAGTTCGAAAAGTAGCATCTTTCACAACAATACCAATTATAACTTCAAACATGCTCAAAAGTTTCTCATCATTCAAAACTTGAAGGGTAAAGTTCGTTTGAGGTACTTGGCGTCATTGTTTAAAATTGTTGAATATATTGTTGCGATTTTCTTGTTTAGATTCTAGAGTCATTTAATTTTTTTATGATGATAACTTTAAATGGAAGCAGCAAAAATAACTATTTAAACTATTCCCCCTGTTTTATGGGAGAATCTCACAAAAATAATGTTGGAATTACTAAATTCTAAATAAAGAATTCCTATAAAAATGTGTTATTATTTACAAATCAAGTGTTGTCAAAACCTATTAAAGTGTGAGAACCAACCCCGATTTAGGATTTAATAATTTTAAACTTCTTGTTGGGAAATTTTCTCTTATTTCATTATATTAGATTTTTTAGGGAAAAATTTTTGTTTCATGTTTTAAGTGGCGCCGCAACCACTTGGCTGCACCCTTGTTTGTTTTCTCCTTTGTCTCGGGAGGACTGGTTGTAGTTTCATTTTCAAGATTAAGTATACCCTTTCTTCTTTTCCTCTAATTCTCCCAAAAATAAATTATATAAATACAAGTCCGCAGTGCAGGCTGTGTGATGGGTTGTGGCAGGAAATTTAGATCCACCCATAATTTACAAATTTAAGTTAAATTTTCCAGAATATTACATTTATTTTTAAAAATTAAAAATTTATTACTCAACTCTGTCAAATTTTAGTAATTTACTACAACATTTTTAATATAATTTTACTTTTCAAGAATTATTGCAACTTACATTATTTAGAATATACAATTTTGAGGTTCACAAAAGGAAGAAAAATACAATTTTGAGATCTGACTTGGATGTGGTGAAATTTTTTGTTGGGGAGATTTTTCAATATTGGTTTTTATAAAATTAGCAAGCTGCTTTTTTTTATCAGTACTTAATAACGTGGTGGCTCCGTTTATTATTTTTGTTTTCCTTTGGACTTTAGTGTTATCCTGTTGCCACGCCCGCGTGGTTATCTTCTTGTCATCTTCCAATAATCAAGTTTTTTTTTTCAAGAGAAAAAAAAACTTTAAAAGGTTAAGCAAAATAGCGCACCTTTTCTTATTTTCAAGAAAACTTTCATATCATTAGCTTAAGAGATCGTTATTTTAAGACTGTTATTTAATTTGCTTGTGATGAAGACTAATTTTTTTATGTTATGATATTGAGGACAAAGGGTATTCTTAAAGAATATACTCCCTTTTTTTTTTTCAGAAACTATATTTTCATATATGTAAATGTGGGGGCAATCAAACCCCATATGATAAAAAATAATAATTTTCCCCTAAGTTAGTTGAATTAATTAAATTGATGATGAGCAAGTTACGAAAAATAAAGTTGACTCCAGCCTTGGAAATAGTCTTGGTCTATTACTATAAATTTTTATAATAATAGTACAATAATGAAGAGTTAATTAATCAGATATGTTCATTGTTCAATATAAAAATGCACGCCTTTGTCCCATATGGGTAGCTAAGCTGTACTTTTTTATTTATACGTTCTCCTAGCTAAGACTTTCCAAACACAAAAATCGTCAGTATCCGTGCATATTTAATTATAGGGTTAAGTGGCCTCCAACATTTGAAATATTTTATCAGGTACATCTAGAGTATTTTGTTATATGTCCAGTGCCCTGAGGTAGTTTTTAGATGCATTTAGCACCCAAAGTTTTTTTTTTGCCTTGATACTGAATACACCAAAAAATATTTTAGAGAAATGGACGTACCTAAAAAAATAATTCTAGCACCAAAAAATAATTCACAGTACCGGATGTACTTAAAAACAATATTTCAGGGTGCTGGATGCACCACAATTACTTTAGGTTATTGGATGTATTTGATAAAATATTTCAGGATACTAAATATACCTTGACCCAACACACCCACACAGATATATAGGCTTCACACTCTGTATGATTCTCTATTAAGTCCCAACTTTGTTGTGTTGATATAATAGCGTACGTATTTGGCCAAAAAGAATATAATAGTGTACGTATTGCTCATTTTGCATAAATTGAAAATGAATGGGAAGATAATAGACAAACTAATCCTAAAAGATCAATATTACCAAATGACAGTGAAAATAATAAAAATATCATGTATTGGCAATCGAATTATTTTTCATATGTACCAATTGAACTAAACTGAGCAAGCTGTGAATAATAAAGCTGACTCTAACTTTGGAAAAAGTCTTGGTCTATTACTGAAAAGACAGTAAAACACAAAAAGGACAGTAAAACACAAAGGAGCTAATGCTGTATGAAGTATCTTATTTCTTGCCTTGCGAGGTGTACAGTAAGTCACTATATATAGACAGTGAGATGTATAACAAGCAATATGGACAGAAAAGAAAAATCTAGAATGACAAAAAATCCACGTAAAAGCCCATTAGTCATTTGGGCTTTGTGATGTTCGGTGTTGGGCTTCAATACTCCCCCGCGAGTGGAACTGGGCTGGCAGCACGGTGAGACTCGATCTCAGAGTGGCAAATCTGGATGATGGTAGTGGCTTAGTAAGAATGTCAGCCAGTTGATCCTTTGAAGATACATGAAGAACATTGAGAAGACCAGCAGCAAGGCGTTCTCTGACAAAGTGATAATCAAGAGCTATATGTTTAGCTCTAGAGTGGAATACAGGATTAGCAACTAGATAAGTTGCACCCAGATTATCACAATACAAAAATGGAGCTTCAGAGAGAACAATATGTAATTCATGAAGGAGTTGGTGAAGCCATATCAGATCACTAGATGCTGTAGCTATGGCTTTATATTCTGCTTCAGTACTTGATCGAGCAACAGTAGGTTGCTTCTTTGAACTCCATGCTACTAGATTAGGACCAAAATAAATGGCAAAGCCAGTTGTGGATCTTGAATCATCAACATTACCACCCCAATCAGCATCAGAGAAGGCATGTAGTTGAGATGAAGAGGATTTTCTAAGATGAAGAGCAAAATTTGAAGTACCCCGTAAATATCTGAGAATCCTCTTCACTGCAGTCCAATGATGTTCCTTGGGTTGATGCATGAATTGACATACACGATTAATAGCAAAGGTGATATCTGGCCTAGTAAAACTTAAGTACTGAAGACTACCCACTATACTTCGATAATAATGAGGATCATCAAAGTCAGTTCCACTATAAGCTGAAAGACAACTATTAGCGGCAATGGGTGTGGAGACAGGACGAGCATTTGACATTTTAGCTTTGTCAAGAAGATCTAAAATGTATTTTTGTTGAGAAAGTACTAAGCCAGAGGAGATAGATGTAACCTCAACCCCCTCAACCTACCCATCACATGATTACTAGATCTAAAGCCAATATCTTCAAACCCAAAGCTCTCTCTCCAGATTTTGTTTCCACCGTACACCCAAAAACATCTCACTATGCCTCGGGTCCCATGCCTACTGTTCCTACTTCAGTTGCTCAGGCCCTCAAGTCTCCGTCATGGCGCAAGGCTCTAGATGATGAATTTCAAGCTTTACTTGCTACTCAGACATGGGAGCTCGTCCCTTCTTCTCCTTCTATGAATATCATTGGGTGCAAATGGGTCTTCAGAGAAAAATTTTTAGCGGATGGTTCATTTGATAAGTGCAAAGCTAGACTTGGACGAAGTAGGTGACGGCTTAGAGGAGGGAGAAGGTGACGCCAAAGTGAAAGAAGAAGGAATAGGGTTAGGTAGAGTGCTTTGACTTGGGTTAGGTATGGTGTATTCATTTGGGCTTTGACTTGGGTTACGTATGGTGTGAGCATTTGGGCTTTGTGTTGGCAAGGCATTTGGACTTAGTGATGAAGATGGGCTAGGTACCGTGTTTGGGCTAGAAATATTGGTTTGTAAGGGAAGTGAGGGCAAAATGGTTAAGGTAGATGGTTTGGGTTGTGTAGTGGATTGGGTTGTAAAAGGAAAGCAATTCTCATCAAATATAACATCTCTTGAAGTGTACATGCGTCCTGTAGGTAGATGAAGGCAAAGATATCCCATGTGATTTGGTGCATAGCCGAGAAACACACATAGTTGAGATCTTGGGCTTAGCTTATTTGGAGCATAGGGCCTCAAATTTGGCCAACATCCACAACCGAAAATTCTCAAAAAAGTGTAGTCAGGCTTTAAGTTGAATATCAATTCAAATGGACTTTTATTATTCAAGATTGGACTTGGAAGCCTATTGAGTAAATAAACAGCTGTATCGAAAGCATGAGTCCAGTATTTTTGAGGGACAGAAGCATGTTGCATTAGAGCTAGACCAGTTTCCACGATGGTTCTGTGTCTTCTTTCTACAGTACCATTTTGAGTGTGAGTGTGAGGACATGTAATTCTGTGATTAATGCCAAGGGAAATTAAATCCTTGTTTAATGGTCGAAATTCTCCACCCCAATCTGATTGAAAAGACCTTATTTTGGAATTAAAAAAATTTTCAACTAGAGTTTTAAATTGATGAAAGACAGTGCGAAGTTCACTCTTAGATTTCAAGGGAAAAAGCCAAATATATCTGGAATAATCATCAACAAAAGAGACATAATACTTAAAGCCGTTTACAGATAATATTGGGGAAGGACCCCAGACATCACAAAATATCAGTTGGAATGGAAAAGTAGAACGATGAGATGATAAAGGAGAAGGTAGACGATGACTCTTGGAAGAACGACAAGCTGCACATTGATGAGTAAAATCTTTTGATGAAACTGGAAGAGAGTTTGACTGGAGAATTTTCTGAACAGTGCGGAGAGCTGGGTGACCGAGACGAGAATGCCAATGTGAAAGAGAGGTACGAACACCATAACAGGCTTGAGGAGAGACGGAAGGAAGAAAGGGGTACATCTTATTGTGGCTTGGAGCTTGAAGAAGAGGTCTCTTGGTCTTTTCGTCCTTCACACAAAAATAACCAGAATGAAACTCAAAAAACACATCATTATCAAAGCAAAATTGATAAACAGACATTAAATTTTTAGAAATAGTAGGAATATGTAAAAGGTCATTGAGAAGAAATTTGCCAGAAGGGGTAGGAAGAATGCCAGCTCCTTGATTCTGAATAGGCATCGCAGACCCATCACTCATCAAAACACTGTCTAAACCATAGTAAGGAGCAGAGTTGAGATTTAGATTTGAAAAATTATGAGTCATGTGGTGAGTTGCTCCAGTGTCTGGATACCATAGTGAGTCCTCCATGTTTGAATATTCAGAGTAGTGAGAGGAAAGAGATGGTGGTGGAGAGGCTTACAAGGCATGATTAGTTCTCTGAAAGCAAGTGAGGGCAGAATGTCCAAAGCGTCTACAGAGTTGGCAAGGCACATCTTGGTCTGGTTGAAAGGAGGAGAAACAAGCACTTCCTCTATAATTTCGTCCCCCAGTACGGCCTCTATAGGGACCACCACGGAAAGCACGACCTCTTCCAAAGTTGTTGTTATAGCCTCTACCATAATTAAAAGTGTTGTAGCCTCTGCCAAAACCTCTTCCTGAAAAGATTCTGCCACCACATCCTCCTCTCACAGCAGGCATGAAAGTGGTGTGGACCACTGAATTAGCCGAAATATCAGAAGAGAGAGAAACGGGGTCCTGATGAGCCATACGCTCTTCGTACTGCAGTAGGTGGCTCAAAACACCTTCTATGGAAAGAAAAGCACGCTGGGTGGAAAGCACAGTAACAATAGTGTCAAATTCAGGACCTAATCCAGCAAGAAGATAAGTAATAAAATCATCATCAGCAACAGGTTTGCCTGCGGTAGCAAGAGAATCAGCTAGAATGGTAGCTCGTTTATGATACTCAGACATAGTTTCTCCTCCTTTCTTGAGATTTGTAATTTGTTGATGCAGATGGACCAGTTTGGCTTGAGTTTGCTGAGAGAAAGAGGTTTCTAAAGCCAGCCACATAGCTCTTGAAGTTCTGTGACGAATGAACTGAGGAATAACCTTTTCAGAGAGCGAGGCAAGGAGAACAGAGAGAACAAGTTGATCTTGATGAAACCAAGTGATGTAGTCTCGATTTGGAAGACCAGAAGAAGTGAGCTTAGAAGGTTGAGGAATAGAGCCATCAATATAACCAAACAATTGTTGTCCATAAAGATAAGGCATAACTTGAGCTTTCCAAACAAGATAATTTTCCTGAGTAAGTTTGACTGTGATATAGTGGGGAAGATTAGAAGGAGGAACAGAGATAGTATTAATGGGATTGGAGGAGGAAGAGGGAGACATGGGAGAAGATGTGATTGTGGTAGTATTGAGACTAGGTGAGGAAGACATATTTTGGAACGTGGCTCTGGTACCATGAAAAGACAGTAAAACACAAAAAGGACAGTAAAACACAAAGGAGCTAATGCTGTATGAAGTATCTTATTTCTTGCCTTGCGAGGTGTACAGTAAGTCACTATATATAGACAGTGAGATGTATAACAAGCAATATGGACAGAAAAGAAAAATCTAGAATGACAAAAAATCCACGTAAAAGCCCATTAGTCATTTGGGCTTTGTGATGTTCGGTGTTGGGCTTCAATAATTACTAATTAAATTGTTATAATAATATTAAGAGTTAATTAACCAGATAAGATATGCTGAATATAAAAATGCAGGTCTTTGTCGGCCTATATGGGCCGCTAAACTGTACTCTTTTCTTTTATTCGTTCTTGCAGGTCTTTGTTCGCAACTTCTTCTTGGTGATCTCTCATTTTCTTTGTTTCTAATTCCTCTCAAACTCTTCATCAGCATTCTGTGTTCTTCCAATTTCTTCGCCAGTTTCCTTCAAATTACAGACCAAATCAATTCAAATCAAGCTTCTCATTTTCTGAAACAGGTACGATGTTTGTTTACTTGTTCTCAATTTTCTGATCGAGTTTGTTTGGGTGATTTCCAAATATAAGTTGCATCTTAAAAAAAAAAACTGTTAATCTTCTTTGGCATTAACTTTGTTGCGTTCTTGTCAATCATATACCTATAAAAATATTTAAAAATCAGAAAAAAAGGGAAAAACACTTTCTTCCAATTCTTTCACTGCCTGTCCTGTTCAATATAAACTCACTCAGAGAAAGGGGTTGGTTTTTTCGTTTAAAATCTCTTTAGCTGTCACTCTTGTTTTTCATTGATTAAGCTGGTTGCTTTCTTGTTAATATTGCCAAAAACAAAAAAAAAACAAAAAAGAAACTGTCTTCTTCAGAAGATTTTGTACTGCTTGCCTTTAAGTCTTTAGATCTGAACTGAATTCAAAAAAGAAAACAAAAAGAGAAAACCTGTTTTGAAGATTTCTTTTCTTGCTACTATTCTTCTGCCTATACTGCTGTCTTTTCTGTGATCGATCACTCTAAGAGGAAGAAGTGTGCACTCTAGAAGTTTTGGTGCCGTCTTCATCTGTGCTTTGATATATCAGACGCGAAAGGAAGTGATGCTGGTCATAAAGTGATATCGGTAATTAAAGTCTGTGTTGATGGTTAGAAATTTTGGATTTTGATTGGTATAAACAATAATATGTTTCTTCTTTACTTATTTTCTCTCTCTGGTTTTCAACTACAGAACTTTAGCTGCTGCCTCTCATCACATCCCAATCTCAAGAAGGTTAACTTCTCTTCGCATTCAGCGAGGTAACTTTTGAATTTGTTTCCCTTGGAGTACTATTATACGACTGATAACATACTCCTCTGGTTCTTAATATAAGAACTAATTGTTGTATTGATTTTGATCCTAAATATAAGACCTATTTCTCATATTTATTAATATTTCTTAAATTACCCTTATGGATACTTCCTCAACTGTAATTGAGTAGAAGAGGGAGAAAGAATATTAAGGAAGATGATTGTGGTGTTTTAGGAAAAACATGTTATATTTCTTATAATTAGCTAACTTATATAATTTCCTTAATCTAATCAAATTAGTTAAATAGGTCTTATATTAAAAACCGGAGGAATATAATACTACCTACCCTTAATATAAAAGCTAGATAACTAATTTACAAATATTAAAAAAATTAGTTAGGTTGTAGCTATTTGTATTAAATAGATATTATTTTCTCTAAAATACTCTTGTTAATCATATAAATTAAAACTACCCTTTCATATAACCTTTAACAAACCTATTTTGTAATGAAATTACATCACAAGGAAGATTTTATATTTAGGACCGGAGGGAGTATTTTATTGAACGATCTAATCACGAAAATATAAAATTTTTAAGTGGATTTTCTATGAATTGTATATATGTGGAGGTAAACTCTGGTCTATGGAATATTCTGCGTTTTTTGTTCTCTAATTTTTCGGTGCTCGATCGTGTGGAAAAGGGTAATCATGATCTTCAGTTCATTTTCATTCTTTTATATTATTGTTTTGTTATTTTTTAAATAAATTTTAGAGAAAAAGAAAATGAGATATAATGCAGCATTTGCGTATACTCCTCTGGTCCCTTTTATTTAAAAATAATTAATTAAAAATTTAAATCTTCACCTTCCACATCGCTCAACAAGTGATGAGTGTTGGGTGCTCATCACTTGATAATTAAACACCAGAACTTGGTCCATTCATTTCAAACCGAGTGTAACTTAAACAGCAGTTATTCATAATCCATGAAAACGCCAATAGCACATTAACAACACGCTAACGACAGGTTAATCTCATTGATAAAAGAATTTTCAATTTAACATACTCCTTCTGATTTTTAATATAAGAGCTACTTAACTAATTTAAATAAATTTAGAAATTTAATTAAATTAGTTATTTACAACAATATCTACGAGTTGATTTTCTTCTAGTATCCTTTTAATCATGACTAAATACTAATGGATGGAAACTCCTTAATATATGTAATCAAACAAGGATACTTTAGGGAATAAGTTTGGGAGACAAAACATATTGATATATATATATATGTCTCTTATATTTAAGACTAAATGATATCCCCTAAGTCTTCCTTCTCTCCCCCTAAGTCTTCCTTCAAACCAATTTTTTCCACACGTTTGCCCATTTTCCACTCTCTCCCAAATTTTCCACCCTCAAGTTTCAACTTTCCACCGAAAGTTGGTGGAAAGTTGACTCTTATATTTTTTTTTCTTTTTAAATAATAGGATATTACATATTATATTAAGCACTATCGTGACATCATATGAGTAAATATGTGTTGTGTGCATGCAGGATTGTTTTTGCACACTCCCTACAGTCCCTACTGTCAGAACTAATTCCGAGGTTAAATTTGATTATAAATATAATACTTCAATTTATTTTACTTTTCATATTTGTTATTTTTTCTCAAACTAATTTATCTAACTTATATACTAATAAACAATTTAATTATGAGGACTATTTTAGGAAGATCATATTACATTTATTATAATTAACTAATTTATTTGACTTTCTTAATCTACTCAAATTAATTAAATAGCTCTTGTATCAAGAATCTGAAGGAATATTAACTACTTTGGTTCAACTAAGCTAACCATGATTGTTAATAGACTAACTTACGTTGGTTAGAAAACATGCATGCATCAAGCTACCATCAGGTTACACAACGACTGCTATTTATCAACACGCGCGCACTGTTAGCACAATAAATAAGTCAGCGTTTTGTAAACTCCAAGACAGTTACATCAGTCCTGTAAGATTATTCCAGAACAATTTCCTCTTTAGAGGTGTCTATTTCTGATTCGTTGTTTTGTACACAGACTCAATGGATAAACAATATAATAGCATGACTGTAAGGAATGAGAAGTATAGCAGATACTATTAAGTACAGCTAGCCCTAGAAGATTATTCCAGATCAGTATTTTCCTCTTTACAGGTGTCTGTTTCTGATTCATTGTTTTGCGCACAACGTCACTATATAAGCTGCTTAAGAAAGTGCCAAGGTAGTAAGCGATTGTGGAGAGACGATGAACCACCCACAGCATAGCCACCCCCTGAGGTTCGAACGCAACAACAGGTCATTTGAGTGCAGTGGATGCAAAGAACGAGGGAATGGCCCTAGGCACCAATGTACACATCAGAATTGTACCTTCGTCCTTCACAAGTTTTGTTACACAGCTCGCCCTGAGGAGCCACCCAAACCCCATCCATTAACGGGTAGGGGCCAATTCAAGTTTCTCTGGGGACCTCCGGGCGGACCGAACCAGCTGGTGTGCGTTGCTTGCGGCTGCGACGTTCGAGGTTTCGTGTATCATGATTTCCAAGGCAACGTTGACTTGCACCCTTGTTGCATGGACCTTGAGAAAGAAAAGCTTGTTCCCGGTTCTACGACTACGCGGATGAGTCTTCAGGAAACAATGCCGTCCAGGTGCAAGGCATGCGAGAGGAGGAATTCAAACGTACCGCCCAAATTCAGAGGGTGGTCCTACGTATCGTCTGGTGGAAAGTATTGCTACCATGTCAGTTGTGTGCTGAAATTGCGTCGGGATAAACGGTAAAAGGGCAAAGCTGGTTCTTCTTCTACATGTTCGACAGCATGAAAAGGCTGGTCAAGATCAAAGCAGGGGCGGGGATAGGTTTCAGCGTTATAGCATTAGCTATACTCGGAAATCCATCTCCATTAGTGTTAGGTGCTGGTGGATGCGTGTGGGATTGAAGGTTGGATACACGTAATGGTACTTTTCTATTGCTCGTAATGGCATGTTTGTGTTACTCTTTTATGTGTGAGGAGCTTGTGATATATGGCTAATAATTGATCCAAGTGGCTTCGCGTTCCATCTTGGCAGCTGGTTGTACTTTCGCACTGTTTAATCTAATAAAACTATATTTCACTTTGTTTTATTCTGCGGGATCCTCTGCCTCTAAATTTTAGGTTTAATTCCAGATCAACGGAGCTCTGGATGTCAAAAACTCCTGGATTCGAGATAGCGAATTGTAACTCACAAGATCGTGACATATCCTTCAAGAAATAAAATGACTTCATGTTATAAGGTTCAAATGGACGATTGCGATGGATTTTTAATTGGGGAAAAAAAGATATTTAGTTTTGTGTTGTGTCCAACGAAATCATGATGACATATGAATTTCTTGTAGATTATTTATTTTATAACAAATTCTTATTATTAACACTTTAAAAGCCACTTATCTAATTTAATTGAACAAAAAATATTAATTATATAATAGCTAGAAATAAATGGAGGTTAACTTTTTTTCCCTTTTCTTTCTTTTATTTAATGTATTCAGACAATTTTAAACCCTCTACAATTGCTTTGCAATTTACTCCTCTGGTCCTATTTATAAAACAGATAGAGAAAAGTTTTTCTTGATCCTATTTATAAGTTACTTCATTATTTAGTATGAATGTACTATTTTATTCTTCATTTATTATGGTATAAATAGTTTTTTTTAAACGTTTATATATTAAATAAGGGTAAAATTAAAAAATTGTTATATTTTAATGAGAAATTAATATAGTTTAAGGTTTTTCCTAACCTATATAAAATATTCTAAAAATACCTTATAAATAGGATCAAAAGAATACTTGCTAATTGCATTGAAGGGGATAAGTAACTTCACACTTACCAATGCCATAGTCGAGTATTATTGGATGAGCGAAGTGTGAGCAGGTTCACTACAAAAAAACAGATTTTAGGCGATGACTTTCCACAGCGACAAAAAAAGTCACCGCTGAAAGTCAACTTTCAGCGGCGACACCAAAAAGTCGCCACTGAAACTAAGACTTTCAGCGGCGAAGAAAATGTCGCCGCTGAAAGTGGACTTTTAACGGCGACTTTTTTTGTCACCACTAAAAGTGGACTTTTAGCAGCGATTTTTTTTGTCGCCACTGAAACTAAAACTTTCAGCGGTGACTTTTTTTGTCGCTGCTGAAACTGAACTTTTAGCGGTAACTTTTTTTGTCACCGCTGAAAGTAGACCTTCAACGGCGATTTTTTTATCGCCGCTAAAAGTGGACCTTCAGTGGCGACCTTTTATGTCGCCGCTGAAAGTTCGCTGCTGAAACTAAGACTTTCAGCAAGTGGACTTTCAGCGGCGACTTTTTTTGTCGCCGCCAAAAGTGTAATATAATAATATATATTTTATTTTACAATATTAATAAACAAATTCAATCTGGCTCAGCGGCAAGAAGATTGGACACAAAAGGAGGCGGTCACGAGTTCAAACCTTGAAGAAGACACATTTAAGGTGAAAATATTTGGATGATGATGTGGCGAGAAGGAGTGATGTGGCAATTATGTGGAGGTGGCTAGTGATGATGTGGTAGTCGACGGTGATGACGTGGCAGCCGGCAGTGATAACATGGTGACTGGCGACAATGACATGGCACCGGCAGTGATGATGTGGCGCTGGTAGTGATAACGTGGCATTGGTAAAGCCAAGTCTTTTTAGGCATTACTTTCAATGTCGCCGTTGAAAAGTCTTTTAGTGGCAACAAGAATGTCGCCGCCAACAGTGTCTTTTAACAGTGACGAGAACGTCGCCGCTAAAGGGCTTTTCAGCGGCAACAAATATCGCCGCCAAAACTTCTAAAAATCGCCGCTGAAAGTATCTTTCAGCGGCAACCTCTTTAGTCGCCACTGAAAGTTTTCAGCCACGGCTGCTACAGCAATGACTTTTTAGCGACACTTGTCGCCGCTGAAAGTCAATTTTTTTATAGTGGTTTGAACAGGTTATGGGGAAATTTGTTTGACTAAGTAGTTTTCTTAATTTTATGTATATATATAGAAAAATTAATCTTTTAATTCCTAAAGTTTTGAGTTACTTGAAACTCAGTTCCTTATTATGACTTGGTGTAATTCAGTTTATAAACTTTTAATTTTGTTATAACCCAGTTCTCAATATCTATCTTTGATAATTTTATCCTTATCATCTATAATTCATCCAAATCATCATTGTATCATCTCGCATGGCCAAAAAAACATCATTAAAGATTCATTTGTGCCTTCCAACTCAGAAAATTTAATAAAAAAATTATAACGCGTCCAATTTGTGGAATCCAACTCGCTCATCCTCATCAAGCACCTGTGCGTTATGAAGCCAAAACCTTCTGCATCATACATTTTGAAAGCTTCTCTCAAGTCCTCCAACTTCTCTTCCTCTCCTGTTATTATGTCCATTAACTCCACCAAATCCCAGAACAAGTTGAAAAAAGGGGTTCAACCTCGCTTATACAAGAGTGCGAGGCATTAGCCCCCCATTTTTTTCTGGGTGTTTTGCGCCGGGGAGGGGCCTCTAGAGCTTCCTCAATAAGTCAACTTCAAGAAAGTGGTCAAAACTAGTAAATACTAACCCTCTTCCTTAATACAAAAATTAGTTGGCTAATTTGAGTAGATTAAAATTTTTTTTTAAAGTTATTTATTTGTAACAAATATGAGTTGAATTTCCTAAGACGCCTTTGTTAATTATGTACATTAGCTAGAACTATCAATTGATGGAATATTTAACATGTGCAACTACTATGAGGATTACTTTAAAATAAATAAATAAATATGAAGGACAAAGTGAATTGTATGACCAAATTAAATATCAAACCAGCTGTTATATTAAGAAGCGGAGGTACTATACTGTTAGATGATTTTACATGGAAATTCAATTAATATTTTGGCTCTCCATTGATTTTGGCAAGCTGAGATTCAAGTGTTTCTAACTAATAAAATTTATAAGCAGAAACTTTTCATTAATTTTTCCAATTATTTAATTATAATACTTTGAAAAATAATTTCCACCAGAAAGTTAAGATGCAAGGATTGATGAGTGTGACACTAATTTTGCCCAAAGCTAAAAAATCATTAGATACACCTAGCTGTGAATTTTATTAGATTTATATTTATATATTGATAAATGCCCATGCGTGAAAAATATTTGAATTATCTGGGTAAAGTAATTTTTTTTTAAAAAAAATAAATTTGTAAAAGAAAATAGAAGAAACACTAAAAATTAATTTGATAAAAACTTATTTAAATAACGTATTAAAAAGTTAACGTTCGAATTTGAAAGGTTAAAAGTCAGAAGCAAGAACAAGCGACTTCAATTTTAAAATAGTTTTTGGGCGAAAATTTAATTTTTCCTGAAGTCGTGCTAAATATTGTTTTTTCATTCAACTGGCATTTTTTTGTCTAAACTTACTTCTAAAGTTTCTTAATGTTATTTCAAAATTTCCGTGGTGTGCTTAACGTGGAAGGTGGCATTGGTGACTCGGAAAAACGGCTTTGTCAAAAGAAATAAGCTTATTGCTATTGCCAAAATGTAGTATTGTACAATACGAAACATGCTCTAAAATAATAATAAAAAGACTTCTAGTCAATTGACGCGGCCCCAAGAAGTGGCAGCCATTTCGAAAATAATGACCTTTTTTTAGAAATAAAAATAAAGGTGGAAAACATTAACCCAAAGCAACAGTTAACAGCAGTAGCAGAACAAAAAAAAAAGTGATGCCAATGGGACCTTAACCTTTAAATTTCATTCATGTTAACGCGTGGGCCTACAAGTGTTTTGGTCCATTAGTATGATTTGACTTGTTGACTTTTAGACTTGTTTGAAGGGTTATCTATGATTACTGATTTTTTGTTTATATTTCATTTTGAAAAATCAAGCTTAAGAGTACTATCAAAATACTGTCAGGTTTGATTTTTTTTCTAAAACAATCAAAATACTAAAGTTTGTTACCCAAAAAAAAAATACTAAAGTTAAAAACATGAAATCAAAGCCTATAATCATCCAAAACTTAAGTACCATATATCGGCATCGAGTTTAATTTTTTTCATTGCTGTAATGGAAATTTTATTCTTAATTTGCAAACCATGTGATTATATAGGAACAAGTCTAATGTTGAAATATATTTAAAACAGAGATATGTATCTGTTTGTGAGAAGTCATGTTCTCAAATAAATTAATAAATTTATATGAAGGATTGTGTTCATAGGAAGTTATAAAACTCAAAATTAATTTTGTCTCTTTAGCTTTTAAAGATATGAAAAGGTGCTACAACTATTAATTGATAAAAGGTTATATTGTTTTTAAGGAAACCTTGCAAAATGCGTAACTCTTCATGAAAAAAGTTATTAAGTTTAAAAGAAAGTGTTGCTTATGTCGTGAAGATATTGGGTACAAATTTCTTCTTCATCTCGTCTTTTAACTCTTTCAGATAACCATTGCCACCAACAACTACTTCTGCATGTGACATGGCTATAGTAATCGCTCATTTAGTTGGAAAGGAATGATGAAGTGTTCCCAGATAACATTCCTAATCACATGGAGACCTTGTTCAACCACCTAAATCGGCCCTTTCTCAATATTGGGCTGCAAATCAGAAAAACACCGATATGATTCTGACATATTTAAGTGCTGGCAGAACCTGACTGGTCCAAGCCATAGATCTATATATCCCCTTCATGCCATCTTTTCATGGATTATTATGCATTCCAATTAAGCTAATCATGATTAATTTTACTGGGCTAAGTTGAATGTTAGCATCCTCATCATGAGAATATATAGAGTCTTAGATCCAAAGCTGTCTGAAATGGGACTCAAGCGTGCCATTGTGCCATTCAAAATAGCTACCCGTCTTAACAGACTTAGATCTATCTATTCATTGATAAAACCAACTTTCTGTAACAATTCTAGCAGATACTCATCAGTGTCCTCCTTCCATTTAACAATTCTAGCAGATACTCATCAGTGTCCTCCTTCCATTAATCACAAGTATAGATCTATTTTCAAATCCCAAGGAAGGCTTCTCAAAATGTACTCATCCTAATTCCCTTAAACTTGATCAAAATATACTCATTAGAAACATTTCCCGGGACACAGTTGAGCTTGCTTACCATGCTGAAAGATGATTGCTGTAACAAATAAATCTTTTGAGGGGTCCAGTAACTCCAGTTCCAGGCCTTCCAACATCGTACCTGATGGCTATACAGAGATAATGGAGTACTATGCAGTGGTGATCTCTTGAGGGTAGAGCAAGCGTCCAATGTGTGCCTGTGTGGAATCAAAAACCAAAATTTAAGGTTTTTGGCCGAATGTTAAAAGCGATTAAAAAACCCAGAAATTAGAGAAAAAGGGTCAGAAGAAATCAACTAGATGATTTATGATAAAGAGTTTGAGAAATGACTTGTATTGTAAAACTTAAAATTGAATATTATGGCTTGCGATATTTTATATGTTATACTGATGATATTGATGCTATATAATATGTATAAAATAAAATATACACTTAACTACATTATTTATTTATCGTGAATGATTAGGCCCATTTATTAATCATAGATGAAAGCATCTAGTTAAATCATTGGATATATATAAAGTGGCTTTCTTTTTTTTTGACTTGATAGCTATTGGTTTCCTTAATAAGGGGTTAAAATGAAGTCTTCTAAAAATATTACCTTGTTAAAAAAAGTTATAATATTAAATATACTACATTCTCTACGTATTTCATACGACATATATTATAAATATTGATAATTTGACTATATCAATCAAGAAGGTCAAGCTCGCCTTGATTTGATGAGGATGGTGCTTTTGCTTGTTTTACATATTAACGCATTAGTCAATCTTTAGAATTTCCATAAGTGGACGGTGGGGGAAGCAAGAGTTCTATGTAATGTGGATTTATTATTTAAAGAAGGGTTAATATAATCTTTGGTCCCTCAAATTTGTTCTTATTTTGGTTTTAGTCCCTCAAATTTCAAATAATAAGTTTTGATCCCTTTAAGGGCAAAATGGTTCATGTTTTTATTAAATTATAAGGATCAATATTTTAGATGAAATGAAATTTGAGGACCAAATCTATTATTTGAAATTTGAGGGACCAAAACCTAAATAAGAGCAAATGAAGGGACCAAAAATTGTATTAACCTTTTATATATCAATTTAGATATTATTACTGAATCTCATTAAATATTATGATTACTAATCAATATATATTCAATGAAACAAATGTGCCATTGAAAATATTAAATTTTTCTAACTCATTGGAAAATCTATCTTTGGACTACTTTTCCCTCTTTTTTTTTGGGCCAAAATACTTTTCCCTTAATTTCAACCATAGAATATTTGGAAAATTATTGTTGATGATGATATTATTTGCTAGGCTTTGAAAAATACACATACTTATCAAGTTTTTCTGTTTTTGCCTTAATTACCTTCAATCGTACTTTGATACAAACACACATATGCATTAAGAAGGGATCACCCACCATCGTTATGGGTTTGAAGTTATGATCTTACAAGTTATAAATCGGCTCCTTTGCTAACCAGATCAATTGTTATTGACACAAAAGGTGAATGGTTCAGCAAGTCATATTCATGGAACTGTGTTTATAGGACCATGGAGCATTCAACTATGGAAAAACCTATGTTGAGAGTACTATTTACATTTAGTACCTGATAATATTTTCGAATAGAATTACCTCTAATAAGAGAATATCTATGCTTAACAAAAAAAAATGATAAAAATCCCAAGAACAATACAGAGAAGATTTTTATTTGTGGATTTGCTGGGAGTTGAATATTGGGTACCATGAAAAACGCAGCCACGAATATCTATCTGTAAAACAAAGGGCTCAAGGGCCCAGTTTCCTTGTACCGTTCAAAGTTGCTCCAGCCTGCTGAGATAAATGTAATTTAATAATTGGACTAAAAAATATGAAGTATACAAAGTTAAGTATTAAAGTCATTTTCATTTTTAATAATATAGTTAGGAATGAAGTGAGGCTTTCAAGTGAGGTTATTTTTTCCCAAATTAAAGTCTGGCAAAAGTCCAAGTGCTCCCACGGTCCCACTAGCAGTCAACTTGTCGTCCCTATCCCTACGCGTGGAAATTTTGGCCCCTTCCTTCCTTGACTCATTCAATAGCTTTCTTTCTCTTTCTTCGTAATTACTTATTTTTCTCCCCACTTACTTTTATTTTAAAATTTAATAACTTTACGATTTTAGTTTTATTTAATATATGTATTTTTCAAAAAAAATACAGAAAATAAATTTAATATTAAATTAATATAATAAATTTAATGAAATAAGTTGTATTAAAAACAAACATATATATATCTTCTTCCTTCTAAATAAGACCAAATAAGTTATTAATTATTATTAAAGTAATAAAGACTAAGAATCAGTTTAATTACAAGAATTTTCGTTTTTTATATGATATGACTGAGAAAATTGTATACTCAAACAAATTGCCAAGTTAAATTCGGTCTTTAGAGTTTTCAATGGAAGTTCCTTTATAACGGAAGACTTCAAAAAATACACCTAACCCTGTTCAAACCTTCTTGCACTTCCCCTTACCCCTATAATATACTTCCAGAAGGCTCTAGGGTTTTGAGATCGAGGTTGAACATGGCTCTAAGTGGGCGAACTTCTTCGTGTGCTCACATTATTATTATCAATTTCCTGTTATTGTTTATTTGTAACATGGTCTTTGGGACTGCGACTGATATCTTCTGCTTGAAAAGCATAAAAGATTCACTTGCAGACCCATATGGTCATTTGAAGTCTTCCTGGGATTTCAGGAACAACACCGAGGGATTTATCTGCAGATTCACTGGGGTTCAATGCTGGAAACCTGATGAGAACAGAGTCATAAGTCTCAAGTTGTCAAACACGGGACTCAAGGGCCAGTTTCTTCGTGCCATTCAAAATTGCTCCAGCTTACAAGGATTAGATCTATCAATTAACCAAATTTCTGGGACAATTCCAGAAGATATAGATCATCTCCTCCCATATTTGGTTTCTCTTAATCTATCTTCAAATGACTTTTCAGGGCCAATCCCTGTGGGTCTAGCAAATTGTAGCTATCTAAATTTCCTCAGCCTTGATCGAAATCGACTCGGTGGGAAAATTCCCGAACAATTCAGCAGGTCCCTAAGGCTAGGGACATTTACTGTCACAAACAATCTTCTGAAGGGTCCAGTTCCATACCTTGAAAACATCACAGCTGATAGCTATGCAAATAATTCAGGATTGTGCGGTGGCCCTTTGCCGGCGTGCGGCACCAAGAGAGAAAGAAATGCAGCCATAATTATAGCCGGAGCAGCTTTTGGAGGAGCAATTTTGGGATCTGGCGTTGCTTTCTTCTTGTACCGGTCACTAACTACGAAGAAGAGCCAGAGGGATACATAAATAAATGCATGCCATCATATCTAGTTTAAAGTGATGAGGATATTGATAATTCCATCTCACTTTCAATTTTCAAATAGAACATACCTGATTCAATCAGGATTAAGATTATTTTTTTCATTCATATGAACTCGACTGAATTCAATTTCAATCATGCTATTGAATGTGATAATGACAAATATTTTCTCGAATTTACGTGCTTAACATGATCTTCTTTTTGGGAACACTACAACAAAATTTAGTAATAGGAATTTTTGTCACTAATCAAAATTAGTGATGGATTAGCATGGAATTCAGTTAGCGACAGATTTTTTTAGTCACTAATTCCACTGTCACTAAATAATTAGTGACAGAATTCAAAATTCCGTCACTAAAATTACTGATAGATTAGCAACGAAATTAGTGACAAAAATTTTCTGTCACTAATCCGTCACTAATTAGTGATCGATATCCCACAAAATTCTATCACACAAAATGATTGTGTGACAGAAAATTCTGTCACAAATTGTGACGGAAATTTTCTGTCACTAATCTGTCGCTAAATTTTTTTTATTTTGTAAATTTAAAATACCACATCATTGTCACGTGTTCATCACTATGAGCTGCCACATCATTAATGGCTGCCACCTCACCAACTCCTCTTCTCTTTCACATGTTGCCATGTCATCTCTTCGTCCACACCATCACCACGTGTCCATCATGGGATGCCACCTCAACTCCTCTCTCACATGCAGCCACATCATCATAATGGTCCACATCATCACCACATCTCCATCATTATGAGCCGCCACGTCATCACCACGTCACAAATTGAGCCAATTTGTGAAAAAGTGTTGGTTCGAATTGAGACTGCGCCCGTGCTAAAGCCTTTACCAGTTTAACTGAGAAGCCCTTACGAAAGATTTTGCAAAAATAAAATATATAATATTTCTAATAACAAATACAAATATATATAATAAAATTATATACATGATTCATATATATTATATAATTTATAAGTTATGAATTTATTTTTATATTTTAGAAAAAATTCTAATAATTTATATTTTTATTCAAATATTAATAAAATAATAATATATTATATATTTCATTTTTAATTCTTTTATAATATTTGATTTTTAATTTTTATATAAATATTTTTAAAAATATGATATTATTTTTTTATTTTAATAATAATTTTAAAAAATAATTATCATATATTTTATTCTATTTTTTTTAATGGATTAGGACGGAAATTGCGACGGAAAAGTGACGGAAAAATTTCTTCACTAATTTCCATCACAAGATGAGAGTAGTGATGGATTGATGACGGAATTAGTGACAAAATTTTTCCGTCACTAATCTCCATCACTAATCATTTAAAACAAAATTAGTGATAGACTTGTGACAGAATTTAGTGATGGAATAAGATTCCGTCACTAATCCATCTCTAAGTTGGTGACGGAATAAAATTTCATCACTAATCGTTTACTAATTTAGTGATGAAAATTTTCCGTCACTAAATTCTATCACTAATTTTAGTGACGGAATTTGTGAGGGATTAGCAACGGATCATTCCGTCACTAAATTCTGTCACTAATACCCTGTTTTTTTGTAGTGGAAATTTGAATATGTTGATGGATATTGGCTTCATTGATAATCTGCTTTCTTTCTTGGTTGTTTTTTTTCCCCCTTGGAAGCTAGAGCTTCCTTAATAAGTTAGTTAGCTTAAAGCAAGTGGTATGCTTTTACATGGAGATTCAATTGAAGTTTGGCTCTCCATTTTTAATTTGCAAGCCTTTCATTCAAGTTTTTCCAACCAATAAAAATTTCTAAACAGAAACTTTTCATCAAGTTTCCAATTATTTAATTGTAATACTTTGAAAAATAATTTCCCACTGAGAAAGTCAAGAAGATGTAAGGATTGATGACTGTGTCGCTAATTTTGCCCAGAGCTCAAAAATCACTGATATATATATTGATAATGCCCACGCGTGAAAACATTATTTGAATTATCTGGATTAAGTAAATTTTGTAAAAAAAAAATCTCATTACATTTGAAAAGAAAATAGAAGAATTTAAAACTTTTAAAACAAAAAATTGTTTAATGATTGACAAAAAATTGTTAAAAATATTCATCGAAAATTTGATATTCAAATTTGATTATATAGTCAAAAATTAGGAGTCAAAAAATGACTTCAATTGTAAACTTCTTTTGCGTAAAAAGTTGGTTTTGCTTAAAGTTATGCCAAATATTGTTCCTCCCCCAATTGGCTTTTTTTTCTTTTTGTTTAACAATTGACTTGCAAAGCTTCCTAATGTTATTTCAAACATTTACATAGTGTTTAAGGCGGAAGGTGGTACTGATCACTCTAAAGCACGGCTTTGTCAAAAGCAATAAGCTAGCCAAATGTAATATTTTGCAATACCAAACATGCCGTAAGAGTAGTTAGGGAAAAACTTATGAAAAAATTGCAATAAAGTCTCACTTAAAAGAATTAAATACAAAAAAGTCTTTTAAAATTATCAAATTAACTTGAAGTCCCAAAAAATCTCATTGCAAGAAATTTATTTGTTTAATTACCAAATTACTCTTCTTCTTTTTTTCCCAAGTATGCATCGCAGTCGTTTGCAACTTAAGGTATAACGATTAACAACTATCACGGTAGCCATTAATAATATATTTTCTCAGCACATTACAAAAATCTAGTGCGTGAGTTGTCAATATCTGCCACAATAATTGTTAATCGTTGCACCTAAAATTGTTAACGACTGCATACTTAAAAAAAATAAAGGCAATTTGGTAATTAAACAAATAGAATCTCTTGCAATGAGATCTTTTAGAACTTCAGATTAATTTAATAATTTAAAAAAATTTTATATTTAATTTTCTTAAATATGACCTTATTATAATTTTCCCAAAAATTAAAGCATGACCAGCCAGAATAAATAATAATAATAAAATGACTTCTAGTGAATTAATGTGGGCCCCCGAAAGTGGGAGCCTATGAGAAAATAATGAATAGTTTTTAGAAATAAAAAAGCTTAGAAAAACATAAGCACAACACGAGAGTCGGTAGTAGGACGCGGCACAAAACTGATGCTGGTGGGACCTTTACCTTTAAATTTCATTAATGTTAACGCGTGGACCTAAGTGTTTTGGACTTTTAGTATGATTTGACTTGTTGACTTTAAAACTGGTTTGAAGGGTTATCTTTGATTGCTGATTTTTTTTTTAATTTCGAAGAATCATGCTTGCGAGTATAAACAAAATCCTATCAAGTTTAATTTTCCCAAAATTATGAAAATAATAAAATCTAATAGATTTAATCAAAACCTATAATTTTCACAAACTTGGGTGCCATAGGTATCGTTTAGTTTTCTTTTTCCCAGTGTTATAATGGAAACTAATTAGCCCCTGTTGTGCTTCTTTTAGTTGCTGCATCTGGCAACTTCGTGTGGTCAAATGCCTATCAAATGCATGTGACATGGCTATAGTAATGGCTCATCTACTGGGAAAGCAATGATGTTGTGTTCCAAGACAAAGTCCCAAAACTGCTAATCCCCCGAAGACGTTATTCCACTAGTTAAATCTATAAAACATTAGGGATAAATTTCTCATCAAGAAATTAATTAGTAAATAGTCCCTAAGGTTCTTGGGCGACATCTTTTTCTTGTACAACTAGATTCTTTTTGTATGCAATCAATCTTTCTTATGTGTAAATTAGTCTCTTATGTCTGGTGCAATTATCTTTTATTGTGTAATTCATGTATAGAAACCATTTGTCAATTAATTTTTTAATAAAAAATTTATCTCCATAGATCTACACTTTCTCAATATTGGGCTGCAAATCAGAAAAACACTGATACGATGCTGATTGATGAGAATATACGGAGTTCTTAATCCAAAACCATCAAAAATGGGACTCATGGAGTGCCATTCAAAATAGCTCCATCTTAACGGGATTAGATCCATCAACTCATTAATGAACTCTCTGTAACAATATAATTCTAACAGATACTCAGTGTCCTCCTTCCATTAGTGACAAGTATTGGTCTATTTTCAAACCTCCAGCAAGGTTTCTCAAAATGTACTCAACCCAATTCCCTTAAACTGCATCAAAATATAATTGATGAGCTTGCCCACCGCGTCCTCAAGATGTTTACTGTGACAAATAATAAATCTTTTGAGGAACCTGTGATGTCTGCTGACTTCCTTGTTGCCCTTTAAATTTTTTTCAACTTCCTAAATATTTTTTCTTCTTTTTCTGTCATTAGATTCTACCTAAAACAAGTGGTATTTTGACATCTTATGGACAACAAATAACGTAATTTTGAAATTTTTTACAATTTTTCCAAAAAAAAAGTTCTAAATTAAAAAAATCGTAAAAAAAAATTATTCAAAACTGTACCCTTTTTCCCATAAGATATCAAAATATCAGTTATTTTATGTAGAATTTAATAATAAAAAAAAACAAGAAAAACAACATTAGGTAAGTTTTGAAAATTTAAGGTTCAATCAGCAGACACCTGAATTCATGTTTTGAGGGATCCAATAACTCTAGTTCCAGACCTTTCGCACCATAGCTGACGATAGCCATAGGGAGATGGTGCAGTAGTATGTGGTGGAGATCTCTTGAGAGAAAAGCAAGTGTTCAATAGTAAATACCTGCGTGGAACCAAAAAAATAAGGTTGTTGGAGGGCAAAAATTAGGAATAGGCATTGGTTTGTTCGATTGGCCAGGTTCAATTAATGTCGGTTTTAGTTTGAGTCTTCGAGGTAGTCACTAGTCACGACAGGATTATTGTCTTATGGGCAATTTTATCATATGATTATTTCTCATGGTCTCACGTTAATGTCCCATCTGCCCTAAGTACAATAATTCTAAATATCAGTGTCTCATTTTTTTTATAAAATCTATAAAAGATATTATTCATTAGTTATAAATCGTGTGACTCATTTGCGACTTCGTAAAGGAAAAAGGACCCCCGATTTAGTTATAAAAATATTTGAAGAAAAATTTCATT